TGTCGACATGTGGTTAACTGGGCTAATGTGATTAAACTGCGGCTTACATCTGTTAATCTTAAAACTATTTTATACATTGCGTTCAGTTCTAACATGAATTAAGATTTTAAAATAATGAAGAATTAGGTGACGCTCGGGTAAAAGTATGCTATTTTGTTCCTGGTTTCACATTTCTATGTTCACATAGACGAGTTTAGAACCGATTAGTGGTCAATCCACATGAATAAACAAGACACATAAATTGATATACAACATTTAAGGTCTTCTGTTTGGTTAGTTCTGAAAAACAGTTATCTCCATTTAAGTGTTAAAATGTGTTAACTCAAAAATTAACCATCAGAACTGGCACAAAAAACCTCTACTGTCAAACATCAAATTCTGTATCTTTCAAGAAAACTCAAAACTAGTCATAAGCACCTGTTTCAAGACACTTAACTATATAACCTATAATTTCATGATCATAACTACCTGTGTTTGAAGTTATAGTTTTTAATATAAAATATATCGTACATGATTATTTCTATGAGCAAAACATTCCTACATAGTTAAAATAGAATGTTATCAACGCAGCCTTTATTAATATGTATTACCTTTTACTGTTAAACAAATTTATCTTCATATTACACCAATATTTCTCTCGAAGCAAATATATTGGATGAAAAAGAGAAGTTTGTTTTTCTAATTGTGTGTTTATTAAGCTAATGAATTCAGCTACTGAGGAGATAACATTTCCAGCTAAGCAATACTTGGTATGACTAAAGCAATAGAAAGGCTATGGGATCAAAGTTAGTTCCTTCCCTGGTCACTTTATTTCTTTTCCTATCCATTTTGTTTCTTCTGTTTTCATGATATAAAAGACAGAGGTTGGGAGAATGTCCTATAGTTTCAGACGTTTGTTGCACGTAGTTTGGACATACTTAATTATTCTGAATAAAAGTCTCGATTCCTTAATTTCCATAACAGCAAATATGATATTATTAAATATACAGTATAAATCAGCAACCTGTTTTTAGATGCTTTAGTCATCAACTGCAATAAAAAGGCTGATTGTAAAGTTTTTTCACAAAAAAATAATAATTTCAAGTTTCTTTCACACTACGTTCAGTAACGAATGTTCTTTCAAGTGCTGTGGTATTAGTGATTAGATTTTGGTAAAAAAAAACAAACATGTTTTGTAAGATAGAAGAACTGTTAAAGGACTTTCAAGGAAATGGTGTTTACGATTCTTTGAAACTTCTCCCCTCTTAATCCTTTATTCAATGAATAAATGTCTTCTTTCTATTATCGTGGTTAACAATAGGATACGAATCTTAAATCTTTTACTTTCATATAACAGACTTTTCTAACAGGAGTTTAGTTTATCCCAGATTTAACCTTTAATGATTGTTTTCCAATTCACATTTACCAGGATACACCGCTAGCAAAATGTGCGAACAACTCTATGTATTAGCCATTAATATAGTGTAACGTATACACATAAACTATCTACGTAATTACCTGAACTAGTGGTACGTAAAAAAAGAAAGAAAAAAAAAACAACAACAAAATGTATCTTCCTGAGGAAAGTAAACTTGAAATAGTCTACTATATTTATGTTTACGGTCTGGATTGTTAGACATAAAGAAGTTAGTGAGGTTTTGTTTTAATTTAAAAAAATGTAGAGTGAAATTATATTGAGTATTGATTACGTAAAATAAAAATGTGATATGAAGATCGATTAAAAAGAAAATGTTAAGCAGATAGAACTAAAAATATAAAAACAACGTGGAAAATGATCCTAAATAAATAATAAGTATTAAGAAAGATCAGAGATAAAATAAAGAATTTATATCACATATGAAAAAGAAAAAACTTATTTTTTTTCTGACAGAGAACTAATTAATGGTCGTAGATCACTGATTCTAGGATCTAGGTTTATTCCACAAGGTAGAACGGTATTTAAAGTGGTAATCCAATAGCCTTCTTTTATTTCTCTATCAGCTTTAGTTTTAAAACCGGTTTCAATGCTCATAAGAATCACATTATTGCAAAATGATTGAGTTGGTTGAAGTGTAGGGTAAAAGAGTAGGTAGTTTTTATGAATTTGCAAGTTAGACAACTTACTTTGTTATATGAATGACAACCTAGTTGTTGTGATGTGTAATTTACTTTTGCATGAACAAAGATATCTTTAAGATTGCTCTTTTTAAGATATGTGAAAATTTTCTTCCTCTTCCTGTGAGGGGTTGTAGAGGTAACAGTAGCAGGAGATTTCCTTATACCAATAGATTTATGGTCTACCTAGAAAGCCAACCCTAACAGTAAAACCCTGTAAAATCCCACACTTAGATACGTTACATAGATGACGTATTTTTCTTTTGCACAGCCGGTTCTTAACCACTTAAAAACTTTATTTCTTATGCTAACACCTTTCAGAAAACAATTAAGTTTAACAATGATTACTTTCATACTAAAATTAACTTTCTTGTCGTTAATGCCTCTTCGAATGACGGGCTTCTACACTGTGATTTATACATAAAACCTATTGACAAACACAATATCTTCGCTACAAAAGCTGCCATTTTCACATAAATGGAATATTACCTAAATTCAAGCTCTCCGAATCAAGAAAAAATACATTCTGATGGAAAAAAAATTGCAGAAAGCATACGTGGACCTGAAACAAACCATATTAAAAAGAGGCTATAACGATACCGAAATTGACAGAAAAATTTAAAAAGCTAACAAGACTCGACGAAAACCATCCTTCAACATTTTTAATATTAAAAAGTCAAACGTAGTTTTTCTTGTTTTTATTTATTACTTTAAACACAGAAACTCTTTGCGTATTCTGAAAAACCATTTCCATTTACCATAACTGAATAATCTTTTGAGACAAATCTTTCCAGAAGTTCCTACAGTCTCCTTCCGGAAAAGCAGAAGTCTTAAAGAATATCCTTGTTCATTCAAAAGTAAATTACATCCTACCACAAAATGGTTGTCATCCGTGTAATAAAATTCTTTGTCTAACTTGCAAGTTCATAAAAACTACCAACTCTTTTACTAATAAATATGACCAAAACCACTTTAAAATTACTAAAAAGTTTGCTTGCATAACACACAACAGTATTTACCTCATACAGTGTAAAAAAACAACAACAAATCGTCAGTATGTTTGATAGACCCAAACGACTCTCAGAGAGCTTTTCAAGAACCATAAATCTTTTGTTAGCGTCGAAAAAAGCCACTCTGTTGCCCAAAGCTTCAACCAACCTGGTCATTCTTTTAATTATGTGATTTACATGGGCACTGCAACCGGTTTCATAAGTAAAGCTGACAGAGAAATACAATAAAGCCCCCCAGTGGCACAGCGGATGTCTGCGGACTTACAACGCTAGAATCCGGGTTTCGATACCCGTGGTGGGCAGAGCACAGATAGTCCATTGTGCAGCTTTGTGCTTAATTACAAACAAACAATAAAATAAAACTATTGGATTGCCACTTTCAACTTTGTGAAATAAATTCAGATCGTGGAATCAGTGATCTTCGATCGTTAATTACTTCTCTGTCAGAAAAATAAGTTTTCCTTTCTCATGTTATGTGAATGTTCTGTTTTTATCCCTAATCTTCCTTAATACTTATTATTTATTTAGAATTATTTTCCATGTTTGTTTTTCATCTTTTTAGTTATATCTACTTAACATTTTATTTTTAATCGATCTTCGAATCACAACTTTATCTTACTTTATTTAATGCTGAAAATAGTTTCCGTCGACATTTTCTTATTTTTAAAATAAAAACAAAACTATTCTAACCTCTTCATATCTAACATTCTACTTTCCTGTCGTATTGCACAACGGAAATGAAACACATTTGCAAAGCTAATCAAAACAGTTCCTTATTGTCATGGCGGCGTGCCATGACGTCACTCTACCCTTTCTCATACTCAGCTTTATTCGATGATGCCCAGTTTGCCTCCAATGAAGAAGGGCCCGTCTTTTATTTGTCTTTAATAGATTTTTGAACCTACGTGTTTTCCGAACACCTTGTATATTTCAAATATATTTGTTTGTTTCGGAATTTTCGCGAAAAAGCTATAAAATGGCCATCTTCGCATAGCCGTCCCTAATTCTGAACTTATAAAATAGAGGAAAGGCAGCTAGTCAACAACTCCATGTACCGCCTACTCTTGTGCTACTCGTACCTGACCTAATAGTGGGATTTGGCCAACTCTTATAGCAAACCGTGAATCTTCGGATTCACAGCACAAACACATACCCGACCTGGTTTTTAAATTCGTCGATTGCGATGAAAACATTATTATACTGTTTTTATTGGTAGCTAACATTTTCTGTTTAATATTTATAGTTTATTGCATATTTTATATCATGCATTTGGATTGTTTAAAACACTAAACAACATTTCATATGACTCTGGTAACAGCCTTATAGATTAAAATGTTACGGTAGAGTCATTAATCTTCGAAACATTTACATTTTAACACATATGAACAAAATTATACGTCAAAACAGTAATCATCACCACACTTGTGCTACTTGTAGAACTGTACTTTTCAACTTATAATCACTTATTTCGTTATGCACTTCGCACATGTGTAAACATAGCTAATGAGAAAGTAGCTCTATTTTTTTCATTTGTCCTAAATATTCACTAAGCTCCTAGCAACGCGTTTTGATCCTTATCCTGACACGTGACGCTGCATGCTTTGTGGACCGGAAGCATGTATTTCGCTACGTTGGCCGACATTTGACAAGAAGCCGCAAAAACCTGGGTTTTTTCGACAGTTTCTGATCAAAAAGATTGGTTTAAGAATGATGATGTTTTATAAACACGGGGAAATTAAACGAATAACGTACAGAGAGAGATGATTAACTAGATGATCACCTAACAAAAATTTATGAGCTTTCATTTTCCTGCTCGAAATCCTACCTCTATATCCAGCACAAGGAAACGTAACTTCCTGCTAAGGCGACCGTTTTTAGGGCTAACACGTAAATACGAATTCAAACCGTTTTAATCACGCGGTTTACTTCAACGCGTAGGCTACTCAAACAAACAAACAATATGTATATGTATATATATATATATACTCATGCGATTACCCTAGAAACTACAGTTGCGTAAGATATTTGCTAATATTTAATAAATCTATCACGAACTCTACACTATGAGTCGTCTACTTGCTTTACAAAATGTTGGGTTTTAGGACTTTGAGCTATTTTATCACAAACTTCCACATTAGAAAAGAATCCTCTACTTATATTCTGTCCTGATAAATACCGGAATCACAATTTTCACGTTCAGAAAGAAAGAACTGGACCGAAAAGGCCGTATTAGTAACAAATGTTATCAATTTTCTTGTTGTGACATGCAAGTATTTCCTTAAATTCATGATGAAAACAAAGGTAAGTTTCGGATGCTTTTCAAGCATTTTATAGAAAATATCAGGCGATATCTTTTTAGTAACTTTCCTTGGCTTTTTTTTTGTGCGTGAGTGTATTAAAATATATGTCACTCACTGGTCAGTTGCTTGTTTGTCATTAAAATAAAAATAAAATTCTTGAATAAATATGTTATTGCTGATTCGATCGATTCATTTGTACTATTTCACTATTTTGCAGACACTGTGACGGACTATCCTGTCCTAGTGATTATATTCATATATATATATATATTGTTACGTCTCCGTTCGTTAGTTAATTTTCCGTAAAAATTCTTACCGAAGAAACTTTACCGATACAAGTCCTTTCTTAAATAAAAATGGTTTATTCTTTCCGAATACAACGTTGCGATACACTTAATTTCAACAGTCGCTCTGTAACAAACGCTAAAATTCACAACGAACGTCTCACGTGCTGAACAATATTCTGCCGCATACATTCAATTACTCATTACCTTACGTTCTTTCTTGGCCGGTCTTATATATATACAAGACTACCCTAATCTAGTAGTCTCCCGACATTTCATGAAGGTTGGAGAAGGAAGTGGCGTGATACGAGCGTCACGTGACCTGCGTTGTCGTAACAATATATATATTAAAGGTTTCTTCACGATTTAAAGTAAGATTTTAAAAGATGGCTTTCTTGTTATCGTGTGTAAACAGAATATACACATATAATAATTAGAATAGAACACTATCCTTAAAGGGGCTGTTAGCTCAGGCGAATATTTATTTAATTTGTATAAATGCAATCAGCGTTTGAGGGGTGTAATACTTGCACAACGATTTTTGGTGTAATTCTTCGACCCAATTTCATAATTAATTAAATGAATAGGGAGGGACCGATCACTCCCCCCTGGACTTGTGTAGAGTGAGCGATCACTCCCTCCTGGATTTGTGTAGAGTGGGCGATCACGATCATCCTGAACTGCCAGAAGTAGAGAAGTTCCTATTTGGATCAAAATAACAACGAAAGAGAATCTAAGTTTTCATTTGTTAGAAATGTTAAAAAAATCACATTTTGTATAGTGTGTCTTGTTACTTCCTAACAATACCTTTCGTGTGTAAGTGATATTTTACAGTTTCAGGTTTATTGAAAGACGCCATTCTTTGCATCTTTCGGATGTGTTGATGCACGGCACGGGTTGACTCTGTGGTAGAACTCTTGATTTCATAGCTGCCGAGCCGGGTTCGAATCCTTAAGTTACCACAAAACATTTCCCTCAGATTAAGTTGTGAATGCGTTATATGAGTGATAGTCAATCTCTTAGCGTGGACGTTGGGTGGCAGGGTGTTGCGATTGGTTTCTTTTCCTCTGGTAAATAATTCAGAATTAAGGACAGTAGCAGATAGACTTATTAACTTTGCCATAAAATGCAAATAAATGTTGATACACACGTGTGATACACAATCACTGTCAAACGCCTACTTTGTAACAGTGTACATGACACAAGTGATCACTATTAGATCTTGTGATCAACATAAGTACTGTAGGTTATTGAACTGAGTAAAACGTATATTGTTCTGTACTGTCACCTAACGTTCTTGTAAACCTGAAACTGTGTTATCGGTCATAGTATTTACACACGGTAACTTGTGAGATATGAATATAATAGAGAGGTGATGAATAAATAGAGATACATAGTACAATCAGTCGAATGGTAGATAAACACTTGTATTTATACTATATTATACCAAAGCTATTACATTGAGATAAGACAGCCACCACAAATGGGCCCATCCCTACTGAATTTGCACGTGATCTGATAGCGCGGTACTACGTAGGGTCTATACATGTCAGCATCTGCCAAAGCTAGTCAGCTAGAATCTAGAGGTCACGAGAAATGTGGCTTACGTACCTTCAAAGAGTAATGACCAGTAAATGCTTTTGTTTGTTTGTTTTGAAGTTAAGCACAAAGCTACATAATGGGCTAGCTCTGCTCTGCCCACAACGGGTATCGAAACCCGGTTTCTAGCGCTGTAAGTCTTCCGACATACCGCTGTGCCACTGGGGGGCACGATTAAATACAGTAGTGGTGGTATGAGTAGGGAAGACACTTCAGTATACATGCTTATGTCCATACCCACCGGGGTTAATAAACAGGAGAAATGGATGACCAATGATAATATGGACAATTAGCCTAACCATTCAAAATTAAACTTTGTTGTATGCAAACGTTGAGGTATGATATAATTTAGAAGTGATAAACTAGAGGGAAAGCAGCTAGTTAAACACAAGCAACTGCAAAATCTTGGGCTGCTCTAATCAAATAGTGCGATTGACGGTCACGTTATAACACCCCGCAGCTTTCAAGCCAAGCGCCCTAACAGCTAGCCCATACCAGGTTCTCAATACTACCATTTGATTTATTTTGAAAAATAAGAAAGTCAATATGCATATTAATGTTTATAAAAACAATAATTTGAAAGTAATTCTAGATAATATAACACGTGTGTTTATTTCTTTGACTGTTAGAAACAGTAAATTAAAAAATACTTCTTTATTTGCTCTAAAATCCTTAGAAGGGGACTGATATGGCTTTAGAAGCAGTGGCGTAAGTATGCCCCCGCAGCCCTCGCAATTGCGAAGGGGGGAGTCAAAAGGAAGCCCGAAGGACCTAAAAAACTTTATATGAGGGGGCTCCATCTTTGGTAGTTGCGCCACTGCTTAAAAGGAAAGAGTATTTGGAGATAAACGTAATTATAATATTTTATTGAGTATTAATGTAGCTTTCTCGCCTTTACAGTAACTGCGTCTTTAATGTTGGATATTTTAGGCCATGTTACATATTAAAAAAGTTCATAGTTCAAGTAAAAGCTTGAATTACTGTAAAATATATAAAAAACTCCAATAACAAGCGTTTGTCTGGCGCTTATCAACGTTTGTTATGACACAGATTATACGAGTTGCTAGAGCGGAACATACGCAATTTGACCTACGTACACGTATACATACGTTAGTAATCTGAGTGATGTTGACCTGATTCCTGTGATGAGTGGGACACATTGTTGGAAAAATGGCGTTTTATACAAACATTAACAGGAGGATAACTTGGAAGTTAGAAGAACTGAGATAAGAAACGAATACACAGTATTAATGTATTTTTCACAGCCCCTGTTTTACAAGGTTTCATACGTGACTAGTCACAATGTATCTTTTCCCACTGTCTTTGGTTTTTATAAGTTTTTTGTACGTGACCAATAGTAATTTGTCATTTTTACAGTCTCTGATTTTACTAGGTTTCACACATGACCAGTCACGATGTGTCATTTTCACACTCTCTTATTTTATAAGGTTTTGTATGTGATCAGTCACGATGAAACATACAATCTAATTTAAAGCAAAATTTACTTAAGAAATAACATTATTTGTTTCATCATTTTGCAGGGCATGACAACTATATTTATTTTGTTCTAGGAACATCCCTTTGGAAAGTTTCATTTATTAAAATACAGGCTGTTCCATAATATTGCATAAAATATCACAATATCATGTTTTTATTCATTGAGTTAGTAAAACAGTAAGAATTATATCAGTAAAAATAACGAAATACAACTATCAGTAATTGCAAATTGTGTAAGAATTGACAGGAAAGAGTTCGGTAATACTCAGGCCTTGATTTTTTTCCTGCTTCAAAAATAATTTACGTTTAAACTATTTTAATTAAAGTAGAGCTTAAAATGTTCGGACTGTGAATCCAAGGATTTATGGTTCGCGTCCTGTTATTGCAAAAAAATGTGCTCCGCATTTTGAGTCATGGATACGCATCAAATCCGACAGACAAGAGTAGCTCAACTGATGGCGATGAGTACTATTGATTAGCTTCCTTCTAGCCCGTAATTCTAAAATCAGGGACAATTATGCGCACATAGCCTTTTTTGTAGTTTGGTTGGAAAGTGGTAAGTTTGTCATTAATTGACACAACAGCTGTTGAAAAGTGGTAAATGTGGTCATTAATTGACACAGCAACTGTTGAGAAGTGGTAAGTTTAGTCATTAATTGACACAACAATGTTTTGAAATTGGTAAGTTTAGTCATTAATTGACACAGCAACTGTTGAGAAGTGTTAAGTTTAGTCATTAATTGACACAACAACTGTTGAGAAGTGGTAAATTTGGTCATTAATTGACACAACAACTGTTGGAAAGTGGTAAGTTTAGTCATTAATTGACACAACAATTGTTGAGAAGTGGTAAATTTGGTCATTAATTGACATCTATTATTAGTTTTCTATAATATTTGTATGCAAATATAATACAATGTGAGCTGCTGTATTAACAAAGTATTTCTTGTAAGTCCAAAATCTGCAAAGCGACGTTAAATTTGGTATAGTGTTGTATGTTTATATAAGTATTCCACTTCATAAAGTATTCTTTATTTACCGTATTTTTCGGAATATAAGACGCACCCTTATTTTGAAGCTACAGTCGCATTTGAAATATTTTTATTGAACAAAAATTCAATTTGATACTTTACAAATTAGTATTTATTGTTCTAAACACAAAAGAGCTCAAAACATCAAAATAAGAAAATACCGTAAATCAAAAAAAGGTTTACTGTTATTTAGTTTGGTTCAAAATCTACAAAATCTTCATTGTTTTCACTGTAATTAATTTTTTTATTATTTAGGGAGCATTATAAATAGTTATGTTTTTAAAAGAAAAAAAAACTACTATTGTTATAAATAACACATTCAATTGAACTAAACGCCCCCCAGTGGCACAGCGGCATGTCTGTGGACTTACAACGCTAGAATCCAGATTTCGATACCCGTGGTGGGCAGAGCACAGATAGCCCATTGTATAGCTTTGTGCTTAGTTACAAACCTTAGTTTCGAGCTCATTCCATTGTTATAAAAACATAGTACAGACAGAATAATTCAATATCCATTTTATTTTCAAGGGAAGGTATTCCATGTTTTCTGTTTGTATTTTTTGCATCTAAAAACATGTTTAACGAAGGGA